GAAAAGGTTTCTGTATAGTCTATTCTTGCCTTCTGTGTATATCCTTTCACAACTAATCTAGCTTTGTATCTCTCTACACTTCCATCTGCTTTATGTTTGATCTTGTACACCCACTTGCAACCTAGGGCTAACTTTCCAGCAGGTAATGGAACCAATGTCCAGGTGTTATTTGCATGAAGTGCTTCAAATTCTTGTGTCATGGCCTGTTGCCAGGCAAGATTGCTTGCGGCTTCTTCATAAGAAAAGGTCTCCCTGTCATTTCAAATACTTCTCACAACCTGTTGGCTATCATGACTCAAGACATCAGGAGTAATGTAACTGCTTTCGGTAAATAGGGCATTGAAAGAGAAAGGTGAGTTAGTTTGAGTGACTTCAATATTCTGAGGTTGTTTCAGATTGGGCACAGAACATACATATTCAGACAAGTAAGATGGAACTTTAGATACCTTACTAGATACTCTCTGATTGGGTTTTAGTGTGGAAGGAGAGGGTTGATTAATTCTTGAATTAATTGGAGATGTTGTTTGTGCTGAAGTGGTGTTAGGGACAGGAGATGAGTGTATGGTGTGATTAGGTGACATTGAAATAGGTGTAATAGAAACATCTCTTTGAGGAGTTGTGACACTATGAGTAGGATAAGAGGGAAATACATCAGAGTGGTCATGATGTGCAGCAGTATGAGGCAAGGAAGAAGGGGGAACTAACATTGATGGAAGAGAGAAAGGAAAGATGGACTCATGAATAACAACATCTCTAGATACACAGATTTTCTTGATATTTAGACTCAACATTTTGGACCCTTTGATACCAAAGGGATAACCTACGAATACATGTGGAGAAGCCCTTGGCTCAAACTTGCCTCTGTAGGGTTTAGGAACAGTTGGATAGCAAAGACAACCAAAACTTCTTAAGTGAGAATAATTTAGTTTCTTTCCATACAACAATTCAAAAGGACATTTGTTCTTAAAAGGTACAGCAGGCAACCGATTAATGAGAAAAGTTGCTATAAGTACACATTCTCTTCAATATTTCAAAGGGAGTTTGGCTTGAAATAACAAGGCGCTGGCAATTTCTAATAGGTATTTATGCTTTTTTTCTACTATACCATTTTGTTGGGGTGTATAAGGGCAGGTTCTTTGGTGTTCAATTCCTTTGGACTGAAAGAATAGGGTGGCTTCACTACTAGTGAATTCCAGACATTGTCTGATCTGATGCACTTCATACTAGTAGTAAATTATATCTCAACCATAGATATGAAACTTCTGAGAATGTGTAATGCATTTCTCTTACAACTGAGTAGATGAGTCCAAGTGGATCTACTAAAATCATCTACTATAGTAAGAAAGTATTTAAAATTATCATGAGTGGGTACATGATAAGGTCCCCACAAATCAACATGTAAGAGGTCAAATATAGCAGTGGTGTTTGTAACTTTCAAGGAAAAAAGAAGTCTAGTTTGTCTGGCCATAGAGCATATAGAGCAAAGAAAAGGTTGTTTTGATGCAAAGTTCACCGGTATATTAGACATTCCTTTCATATTCCCAAAAGGTACATGCCCAAGTCTATAGTGCCATAACAGATTTATATCACTTGTATCAATTGAAAAAGAGTCAGAATCATCACCCATGTTTGTTTTATTCCAGGTGAAAGTATTTACAATAGAAAATGGAGACACAGTATTTACAGTAGAACAGGGGTGATAGGAATGGAAAGGACACTGAATATTTATAGGAGAAAAAGATTGAAAAGAATGAGAAAACAATGTGTTGCACTGTCATGATTGTTTCTCATGGAGAAAAAGGAAATCTTCTTTGCTACAGCAGAACTTCCTTTGTTTTAAGCAGTATGAGCAGAGAAGATACAACCCATCCTGAACCTTACCAATCTCCAGAGGCCTCTTCAGAGAAGGGGCCCGCAGAAGACAGCATGTGTTAGAGAAAGAAGCTAGACATTTGAGATGTGTTGTTAATGAACTGATAGAGATAAGATTGTATTTGAAAGAAGGAACAAATAGGACTCTATATAAAACTATTTCAGGTGTAAGAGTCACAGCTGCTACTTCTGTTACTTTGACTTTGTAACCATTTGGTAGTTTCACAAGTAAAGGATAGGGTAGGGCAATTATATTCTGCAGGTGTATCTTGTTAAAGGTCGTGTGGTGTGAAGCTCCTGAGTCTAGAATCCATAAGTCAGCCTTTGCTTGAAAGAATTTGCATGAGAGTTTGTCAAAATCTATAGGAGAAGTGCAAGTCACAATACCTGCAAAGTTTACGGTTCCATTGGTTGTATTTGTATTGCTTGAAGTTTCTCTTACACCATCACTTTGGAAATGTTGTAGCATCCTCACTACTTGGTCATATTGCTCCTTTGAAAGATTCATGTTTTGGTTACTGTGACTTCCCTGATGCTCCAGGTCTTCTTGTTGGTTTGTCATTGCATTTGATGGCATGCCTTGTACACCAGTTACAGCATTTGCTGCAATACTCTTTCCTTTGTTATTCCTGGGATACTGATTGTGATTTTGGGCATTCAAATTATGGTTTTGGGTTCCTTGTCGATTGAAGTGTTGTGGATATCCATGAAGTTTGAAACATTTGTCTTTGGTGTGTCCTGGTCATTTGCAAAAGTCATAAAAGGGCCTGGGCCTCTTGTTGTTTACTGAGTAATTTGTCCTGAATCCTCTTGGGATTGTTGTACCAGCATTCATTGCAGTAGATTCAAAATTCAGTTGATTTCTAGGTCAAAATTCTCTTTGTTTCTCCTCTTGACCAGAAGTGCAAAGGCTTGTGCCATTGAAGGCAAGGGATTCATCATCAGTATGCTCCCTCGATCTATAGTATAAACTTCATTCAAACTCATCAGAAATTGTATCAGCCTTCTGTCCAGTTCAACTTTGTGCATGTTTTCCTTTGCACCACAGGTGCACTAACGGCTACAGAGGGATTTTGCACTGAGATTAGTTAACTCTTCCCATAGTTTCTTTATTTTTGAGTAATATCCGGTAATGTCGAGTACTCATTGACTCAAATCATTAATTTCCTTTTGGATCTGGTAAAAATTTCCCCCATTTGTCTAATCATAATGATCATCAAGTTCTCTCTACAATTCAACTGAACTATTCACATACTCTACACTATCCGCAATTTCTTTAGCAAGTGAATTCAAAATTCATGAAGTTACCATATCGTCACATCTCTCCCATTGTCTAAAATTTATCGACTTCAACTTCGGTTTTTCACATTCCCCAGTGATGAAACCTAATTTGTTCTTAACAGAGAGGGCCCTCAATACACCTCTCCTCCATGAACGATATCCTAGCCCATCAAAAGAAACTGGAACTAAAACCAATCCAGGATTGTTAGAAGGATGAATATAAAGCGGACTACTTACATCGATTGTCGATTAGATCTATGATGTTGTCGTAGTCGTAAATTCTATATTTGGGTCGTCTACCGCCATGATTAGTTTAGCTCGAAGCAGAAAACGAAAGAGAAGAAACACCGATTGAACGACTGAATGAAGCTGCAGAGAACTTCAATTGAATTAGTGTAGCTTCGATTTGTTCGTTCGCTTGAGGATTGATATCGCACCAAAAATGAACCCTAATTTTGAGCAAGAAGAAGGCAGTACCCTGCGCAGTTCAATTCTGTGGATCACTTAGTCGTGATAACTGCTCTGATGCCATGTTAAGCTTTGGAATGCAAGCATAGAAAGCTTCTAAGCTACAATGGAGGAAGCAGTTAGAAGCTTCTGGAGGATCGACTGAAGAAAGGAGAAACAGAGATAGAGTCTCTAATTGAGAAAAGTGAAACTCAAACTCAATTATGCTGCGGAGTAGTTCTTATATACAGTGAGCACTAACTGAACACGACTAACTAATTCGGAAATGACAGCTAATGGACAGCTAAGCATTAACTAATAACTAACTAACAGCTAACAATAACTGACTAAAGCAACAGTAATAGCTAACAAATGAATAAATACAATTCTAATCCTAATACACACCGTGGGGTCTGGGGAGGGTGGTGTGTATGCAGACTTTACCCATACCTTGTGAGTATAGAAATAGTGTTCCCAATAAACGCTCGGCTCAGGATGTAAATTTGTTTCAAAATATTATACGTTATAATAAAATAAGAAATTATTTTTTCCAGACATAACCATACTGCTTATTAATTAATGGAGGATATATTAAAGTCACACGTACATAGTGAGTAAATTCTTATGAATTGAGGTGGTGTAAAATTGGTCAAACCCGCACATTATGATCTGTCAGCGGTCTAATCAATAGCATGTAGTATTGACGTTGAGTTGAATAATGAATAGAAATATTGTTTTTGTTTTTTATTTTCCAAGAATCAAGACTCTTATGAGATGCTTAATAAAATTCCAAATGCTCAGCTTAGGAGTAGGAAACTTACTTGGGATGGCTAAAAATGTCACGTTACAGCCGAAGGAAGAACAAATAGACAAGTCCAACACAAACAAGAAGCACAGTTACTATTATTACTAGTTCAAAGGCAATAATGACTTTAAGGTTACTTGGTATGATGGATAAGCAAAATAATCTTGGGATAAAAATTTAATATCACCTAACCCTTGTTTGGTTATTAATATTGGGATAAGTTATCACCGAAATAGTACCGGGATAACTTATTCCTGCCAGAGAGTGGAATAATTATCCCCGAATAAGTTATCCCAAAATAAAGTAATAAAATTGATAATACCAAGATTAATACAATATATCAAACAGTCAATAAGAAATAATATCAGAGTAACTAATTCCGGCATAACTTGTCTTCAAATCAAACGACCCCTTACAGTTAAGGAGAGACCAAATTAAACTTTGGAGCTGACATTTTCACAGTTAAGATTAGATAGCAATTTTTTAAAGAAACCGGTAGTATCTGGATCAACTTGCGCGTACCCAATTATCTTACTGGGTACTTGCTACCTCCCACAATTTGCTACCTCCCACACAAGTACAAGTACCTGTTAGCTCTGCCTACTAAGGCTTAAAGTACATTTTATAGATAGTGAACTTGAATAACGCTATCCAAAGTCTTATACAGTTGATATTAGTAAGAATATTATGCAACCTTAGGAATACAAATTATATCCGACTTATAATCCGATGCATGTCCTCTCTATTGTGCAATCTATATCGAAACTGAATAGGGAAAACCAGCTAAAGGAACACCCAGTCGTCCCAAAAAAGTAAGGAAGAAAGAGAAAAACAAAAACAAAAACTAGTTCACCCCCTCCACTACACATTTACAGCTTCATAGGTCCCAGATTATCATTTGGGCTTGAATGCTTACAAATCCACCCAGAGAGCTCTTGCACTCTCTGCTCCAGACAATCTGAGGTAGCAGTATTCTCCTTCCACAGCTGTACCACTTCAATAGGATCTTCAAGGCGAAAAGAGATAGAAGGAAGTTGTACCATGCAAATTAGAAGGAAAAATTGCAGCTGCTCGACCCCCAGTAGCCAAAAAACACCTTCCGTACCAACCACTGAAGGAGCACGTTTCCAGGAGAAAACTAATAGAGCAAAGTAGCTCATGGTTTGATAATCATCGCGTCACAATCTGAAATACCTTGCTCAATTGCGTCCCTGAGAAACTACTTCCTTCTGCTTTGTGAGAGTATCCTGGAACTCCAAACGTTTAGCTGACCTGAGATCAACTATACTGGGAGGCATTGGTTGAAGGGATCCATGTAGCTTAACTAAATTAAAGAATTCCTCCTTTTGAAGACTTTTTTTCTCAACTAGTATATCAACAACTGCATCCATAAGGTTCTGGTTTCGCTCAAGGATCTGTACAGGCATTTCAGGATTACATTAATGAAAACCTGAGCAACATGCAGTTTCTTAACTAACTTTATCTTCTTCTTTTTCCACTTAGACCAGAGGGGCAGGGAAAGGGAATGAGTCTACTGATACCTCTTTTGCACGACCATAGCACATATGTAAGATCCGTAGTGCCTCTGAGTCAATGTCCTAAAAAGCACAATGTATTTTGGAATTCAGGTGTCACGCAGAACACATCCATATGGAAAATACAGATGGAATGCAATACCAAAGAAGTGCAACCGAAAAACAGAGACTGGAATTTTTTTTATTTTAGAAGCATATTTGAAAATCTAGCAACTGCATACAAATGAAGTATTCATACTTCTGGAAGGAGGAAAATATATTTTTGTTAAAATTTTCATTACCTTTAAGCAATTGATCAATGGGGAAGGGGGAATAGTTAAACTACTAAAGTGGGGTGGGGTGGGGTGGGGGGCAGAGAGTGATATCTTACATTTATCCTATCTGCAACCCAGAAGTTAGACAAACCATAATGTTTCTCAGAAAGACCTCCAAGAACAAGAGTCCGAGCCGCCGATCTAGCATTGTCTGCAGTCTCTGCCCATATGGTACTGAGCTGAAATATTTTAAATGTATAAGTGACTAATTATTGCCCCAGTGGACTTCCCGTCATGGCTACATTTCTTAATAATCTTTAAGACACCAACAAAAGCAACACTGGATCCTTTTGAACTATTTAAGTGCTAGGTGACAAATGATGCAAAAATAAAATTTAAGGTTTCTGCATATCTTACCTGGTCCTTTCCATACCACAGCTCATCAGCAGCACGTGGTGCTAGCTGAACAGTGATGTGATCCAAGAGTGACTGTCGGCTGCATTAAAATGAATTTTAAAAGTTAAAGATGACTACACTCAGGAATTTTTTTTCTTTGACTTCTGAGGTGCAGTCGCGCCAATGTAGTAGGCAGTCGCCTCTTCCAAATTGCTTACATGGGAAGCAAGACCAACAGACAATGAGGCATTTCAAAAGCAAATACTTCATGTCTTTGGTGTCTACAGATATGTTTCTTCACTTCACATAAGGCAATACATGATTAGAGATTTGAAATACTCACTTCTTAGTTCCATTACATATACACTAGCATATCTTGTTGCATTTGATTTTCAATTTTAAGTTTTGAGAGAAGAAATCAGAAAGATAAGTGTAATATGAACGGGATAGAAATCATGCCTCAGCATTCCTTCCTTAAATTTGACATGATCCATTTTCATCCGCACATAACCAAGCTCCCTGCCAGCCCTTGGAGCAATAGTGACCTTCTCAAAAAAAACATCACAAAAAACAGCCGTCATAAAAGGCACTTTGAGGAAAGTTCATACTGTAGACAGTAGCAATTGGCTCAATTAATCATCAATTATAACGATGATGAACAGCTATTTTGATAAGTATGAAAATAAGAACTCAATGCACTTTGGAGGAAGAAGAAAAAGACAACAGAAAGCTTTAGCTTCCAACTCTAACTTGCATTAACGAGCATGATTCTACTTTTCCTTATCTTGTCAAACAAAGAGCATGAGAAATCATAATTTAGGAAGAAGGAGAAACATTGATTGCTCTATCATCAAATATTTCCTAACTGACCCAAGTTTATCTATACCAGCAGTCAGTCCACTTCAAAACTCCTTGCTAGCAAGTAATATTCTATTACATGGGTACCGCTTCCTTTGTCTAATACATGGTTAAATTTGACAGAAATTTCTGCATAAAAGAAGAAAAAGCATGAGAAAATCAAAATTCAGGAAGGAGGACGAACATTGATTACTCTTTCTCCTAACTGACCCAAGTTTTGTTTGCCACCCATACCAGTAGTCGGTCCGCAACAAAGCTCGTTCAAAACAAGACAATATTCTACTATTGGATATTGCTTCTTTCCTTTATAACATGGTTAACTTAGATTGACATTTTAGTTATCATCTAAACTTTAAAGCTCATATCCATACATATTGTATAGGGAACAAATATAATCAATGTTAACATTTGAACATGCGCAACTACTTCAGTCAACTTTCAAACAGGTATCTACTATGTGCAAGATGTAGTCTCACCTCAACTTCGCTCTTCTCATGTTGACTAAACTTGCCCGTGCAGGTATTCCGTCTTACTTCTACTTATCCTAAATATAACACTAGAGCTAATTCTTGACAAGGTAATATAATGACATGATATTCCACCAACACTGAATAATTAGGAAGAAATGCCAGAATTCATATTTCCAAGCAGTTAGCCAAAGACAGAAATCCATGCAGTACAACAGTTCTTTAGCCTTTGTCATAGATGTGACGCAAGCAGTAAAGATAAATGCATATTTGGGTACTATTGAAGAGTGAACCAAGACAAAAGCAAAGCAGAAGCACAGACATGATTGCCTAACTCAGTAAAGATACTTCACCCAATTATCATACCATAACAACAATAATGAGAAAGCAGAGAGTAAATTATCAAAAAAAGATATAAATAAAAAAACAGACAGTAAAAAGCAATATAGAAGAGAGTAAGAACATTACAAACTCAATATTTCTAAGATCTGGGAAGTTCACTGCCACCACAGCCATCGCTGCTTCATTAATAGCGACTTGCTTCCACATTTCAGGGCTCCTCTCCTTCCGGTCAAGCATTCCTCGTTCTTCAATTTGTGCAGCTTGTAACAAGTCATCAGTTGTAATCTGCTAAGTGCAAACTCTAAGGTTATACAAAGTCTACTGTCTCTGGTAGCAGAAGAGCACACCATGGAGAAGTGAAGTACAGGTTTGGACACCTGATTTAGTTGAGTACTTCGCAAAGTAGTGACATTATGGATGGATGATGACCAGAACTTCATCTTTGTCATGATAAAATCTAGAAGACAAATTCCAGCATACAATATTTTGGTCTCTATTATGATGTTTAGAAAAATAACACGAGGCTCATTAACCAACATCAACCCATCCCCACTTCTCCGGCTAAAAAGGGCATCATATTGAAAGCAATAATGAAAAAGTTTCTCCCATGTTGCGTGCAATAAATAAGAGCTCAGCTTAGGAAGATCTCATGTTGTTTAAAGACTGCCAAAAAGTCCATCTGTATGGTAAACAACAACTAGTATTGGCATATATTGCTTAACAAGGTTCTCTTTTTTACCTTATCAAAAAACAAGGTTAGAGGAAAATTTGACTCACTCTGAAGCCCTAAATCTATTACCTCAGTTCTTCCATCACGCATCATATTAATAGCAGCAACCTCAACAATGTTGGCCAACTCTGCACCAACCATTCCATCAGTCATACTGGCAACAGCCATATAGTCCAAATCAGGAGCCATAGGCTTCTTACGAGCGTGCACCTAACCCAAGGAGATTCAATGTAAGAAAACATGGAGTAAAACATATTATAAGCTTGCTAAAATATTATAATTTATGCATCCCCAAGAAAAGCACTTTAAGATGTCGTACACCCCCAAAATAATTGAACCTTTCAACAGACAACTACATATGTAACGTGCACCTTAAGAATTTCAATTCGCCCAATAAGGCCAGGTTTTGGTATGTATATCTTCCGATCAAACCGCCCTGGCCGAACAAGTGCTGGGTCCAATATGTCTGGTCTATTTGTAGAAGCAATAGTGATGACTTCACCTTTGCCTTCAAAACCATCCAAGCACACAAGAAGCTGGAGAAAAAAGGAGAACCAAATCAATGTAGCCTGAAATCTCAACAAGATGAAGTGGAAGTTTCTCATAAGTGCTAAATGCCCTGGAAACCTGATTCAAAGTCGCATCACGTTCTTGTCCGCCCGAACCCTTGATCAAACCACGTTCTCTGCCAACCGCATCCAACTCATCAATGAAGACTACTGATGGTGCCTGAGACAGACCACACAATAACGCTCATATCTTGTTAAGACTTTATAAATTATATATACAACCACCCCTAAGTAAAAGCAAAAATGACTTGACAAGATTTGGAAACAGCACTTATGAAGCAACCCACCCAGCAAAATTCTATCAATAAATTAACGACTCCTCAACGTCAAACTAGCTGGTTTTAGCAATATCAAAAGACAAAAGCAAGCAATTCACTCAGAATAGGAGGGAAATGGTAGAGTCTTCATAAAAAGCAAAGGTGGAATAAGAATAGCCAATTAGAACACCAGGCGCTTGTAAGAAAATGCCTCAGAGGATGGGCATGGAGAGTAGAGAAGATAGAAAAAGGACTTACATTCTCCCTTGCCTCTTGGTAGAGTGCTCGAACACGAGAAGCACCAACACCAACATATATCTCAACAAACTGAGATGCCGAAATGGAGAAGAAGTTCACCCCTGCCTCACCAGCCACAGCCTTTGCTAGCAAAGTCTTCCCCACCCCAGGTGGACCACAAAGCAGTATACCCCCTGAAAGCATTGCCCAATAGATATGTAATGATATAAGACAAGAATAACGCGATACCAGGCTAGTGTGCCAAACAAGGAATGGAAAAAAAAAACTGAGGAATTATCAATGAAGTGAACAGACAGGTGCATAGTAGATCTTATGCCTCACAAAGTGAGATAATGCAGGCAAGAACGATATATATATATATACTGGAAATGCTATTTGCATAAATTGATGTAACGAATGACAACAAGAATCAGTAAACGGAAACTTTGAGGGGAGAGAGACAGACAGACAGATAAGAAGTTCTCTTAGTTAAAGTTACAGAAGCAGATATCAAACTTATTAATGTTATATTGAAGTCAGAGTGAGTTCTATTCTTGCATGTGATAGAATTATGTTAAAACACGGAGTAGTAAAATGCAGGTAGATGCAAAAAAAAACAGAGAAATATCTAGGAGAAACTTTACTAAAGCAAGAATCTCTTGCTACAAAGTAAAGGCGAGCAAATACATTTTGCACCATAGATGTTACTCATAGATAGAGGCGTAAAGTTCACCTGCACCCGTAAAGTTCGGCAAAAACTCCATGTATATATATATATGTCTTTAGAAAATAGTGATATATTAATAGTGAGCACCCCATATACAAAGCAGATTTTGGTTGACTCCAAAAGTGCACCCTAACCTTCAAATCCTGGGTCCGCCTCTGGTCATAGAGCTATGGATATAGAAGTGTCCACTGCCAAAGGACAGAACTTAGTAAACCCCAATTCCATGAAAAAGTATGAGCCATAGGTGAGCTAGCTAGTGGTGGACTAAAGAACCTTGGATCCGCTAATGCTGCAATTTCACAGTGGAAGAAGCCTATAGGCTTATGTCCATTGTATCCACGTAAACACACGATTCCAGAAGGAAATAACAGTAAAGTACAGAAATATACACTAGTACCCAGAACAAATAACTAACAAGTCTAGAGCAATTGAAGCGGCATATTCCTGCTGATCTGAAATAGAAAGAAAAGGACTTCCTATTTACAGAAAGTATACGTCAAACAACAAACTCAAATAGGAACCACATTCAAGAAGACTCCCCAAAAATCAATATCTGCATATATCTGACCTGGTATTTTGACTCCTCGCCTGCGATACATCTCCCCATGGGTGAAGAACTTAACAATTTCCTCAAGCTCCTCCCTGATTTTCCCAAGCCCAGCAACATCGGAGAACTTAACATCCACACCTCTCTCTAAATACTGGGGAAGTTTCTTATTACGTGCTCTTCGGACACGAGCACCTGACCTCATGAATTGCATAGCCATCTTCATATAAGGATTTTCCTCCCCTTTTCTTCCTTCCTCTTCGTCATCATCATCAACACCCTCAATCCCTTCCATTTCCCTCTCCAATTCCCTCATCTTCTTTTTCTCATCAGCTTCTGCTTTCTCTATCTTCAACCTATCCTCATAATCCTTTTTCTGCCTCCTATAACTAAGCACGACAGTTCTATAAAATATGTAGAAAAACACCAATCCAAGAGCAGTGGCAACATTCGAATCACTAGCTAAGGTTTCCCACATTCTTGCCATATCCTGAGAACTTCTACTTGCTTGACGCAACGACTCCTCATACCTCATTCTCTTCAACTCCCTCTTTCTTTTCCTCTCTTCCATTTTCTTCTGTGTTTTCATTGCCTTCTCCATCCTCTCCCTCTCCTCCCGCATCTTTGACATCTCCTGGTTTTGCCTCCTCTTCAATTTTTCTCTCACCCTCTTCAGCTCCAACGCCCTTTTCGACTGTGGCTTGGCCTTCATAAAAGAAAGCATCCAAGCTGGAATATTTGACAAGAACCCCAAATAAGGTGAAGGCAGCTCGGGTTTTTTCAGTGGTGGAGTATAGGCATTCATACAAAGTCCATCAATTTTCATGTCATCCCATTCAGACCAAAATCTTGGATCACTCTCAACAGAAGGTAACACTATTCTAACAACCTTAGAATCCTCTAAAACAGCTAAAACTACCTCCGGCCGTTGCTTTAACCCTACATTAGGTGGTTTAATTATATGCTTAAGTTTCCCTTCCCTTTTCAAATCCAATATTTCTGTATAAGGCAGCCTATTGCTCACAGTTGGAAGTCCTTGTGACCATTTTTTCAGCTCTTGTGGCGTTAAAGCCTCAGTCTTTTTCGTTGAACGTCTCTTTTCGGAGACTTTTGCTGCATTTGCGGGTCTTACAAGTGAAGTTGAAAGTACAGTGAGAGTAACTGAAAGATTAAGTAAACCCAGTTGATTAAACCTAAGTTTCTTGTCTTCTTCGGTTGTGGGACTATCAGAACTGCATGAAATTATTAACGGAGTTCTATTTTTTCGACAGTGGGGTTTGTTAAATTGGGAAAAAGAAGGTAAAAATTGAGAATTGAGAATGCAATTACAGGCCATGTGATTATAAGAGAATTTTGAATAAAGGGTTGAGGATGATTACATTGTACAGCAAAGCAAGAGAGTGGTCTTCCCCAATTCGAATTTGTAATTGAGACTCCTCTTAGGCATTATATCAAACAGCTTCAGGATGAGAATTTTCGCTGCAAAAAAGTATTAATTATTAATACAGGCTGAAGTTCATGAATTAAGAGTGGAGAGAGGAAGAAGACACTGAGCAGATATGGTGGCGGGTCGGCTGTTAATAGGACCAATGAAGTTGCCAAAATTTTTTCGTTTGGGCCTCGCTGACGGCCCAATAATGAAGGCCCACTCCACCCCTTTCTCGGGGATTTGCATCTATACCCGCTTTTTGGGTCACGTTTTAACTTGTGCCCCCTTTGCAAAAAAAATTGCAAGCATACCCACTTTTTCGCGTAACTTCAGCATACGGGGGCCTGAAGTAGCAAGTGTGCTGAACCAAGTGTGCTGAAGTTTTTGTTTGTAATTGCTGAACTAGCATAGTAGCTGAAGTTTTGTTCTCTATTTGTTGAAGTTTTTGTTAGTAATTGCTGAACTTAAGCATAGTAGCTGAAGTTTTGTTCTCTATTTGCTGAAATTTTTGTTTGTAATTGCACTAAATAAGCTGAAGTTTTTTTGTCCTGAATTCATTAGTTTTGTCATTAAGCTTTTTCAAAAACTTCAGCAGAAGATGCTGAAGTTATTTAGTTCATTTATAAAAACTTCAGCACTAAATAAGCTGAAGTTTTTTTGTCCTGGATAAGCCTTTTCAAAAACTTCAGCAGAAGATGCTGAAGTTATTTAGTTCATTTGTAAAAACTTCGGCACTAAATAAGCTGAAGTTTTTTTGTCCTGAATTCATTAGTTTTGTTATAATCAGACTACTATAAATAATCAGATTGCCAACAGTATCTAAATCATAAAAATTTTGGAAACAAATAAACGTGAAAAGAATAGAATTATCATGAAAAGAATCACTAAGTGTGACCTTAAACTTCCCGTACGTGGAAATATTCACAAATTATAGTATACTAAATTACGTAATTATTTATAATTTATTTTTAAATAATCTGAATCATCCCATGAACTGAAGTTTCATAGCAGCACCAACAGCAGCAGCAGCAGCAGCAGCAGCAGAAGAAGAAGAAGAAGAAGAAGAAGAAGAAGAAGAAGAAGAAGAAGACGAAGGAGGAGAAGGAGGAGGAGAAAGGGGGGTTGAAGTTGTTTAAAAAGTAGGTACAAGTTAAAACTTTTTAAAAAAATGGGTATATGTTAAATAAGGGCGACCAAATAGGGCGCCCCGTGCAATTTTTACCTTTCCAGGTTGGAACTATAATGGTGGAAATGACACCACGTAGCCACTTTAAAAGGTGCTATTTAAACTACGTCCTAAATTTGAGTTTTTCAGTTCAACTTTTTCCAAAAATGTCCAAATTGTCCTGATATTAAGATTTTTAATTTAAATTTGTAAGACAAAATAAGTATTGGCTAATATCTAAATAGGATCCCTGAGAATGGCTATCTGAGCACTTGCCCCACTATAATACAAATAACAGTTATAATTAAAAAAAATTAAATTGAGATAAGTTATCTAAAAGGCATATATAAAAGAAAATCTAATTTGCTAAGATACAGTTTTATAGTTACAGATTTTTTTATTGGTTAGCTTTTTATCATGATTTTCCAACATTTTTGTTCTTCGTCTCTCACGTATTAACCCATAGTATTTCTTTTAACAATTATGTGAAAATTATAGGAAGGTTCTAGACATTTTAGAGAGCAAAATATCTGAAGTTGTAATTTTTTATTATATTTTACTAACTGTACAAGTACCTATATTTATACACGGTATATTACTGCCTAACTTACTTAATATGTACACAGACAGTTGTCTTGGACGGTTGAGATTGAAAGTGTCTAATGGTTCAGATTCTTCTACGTGGCAACTGCTATGTGCCACTTATCAGCTCCTTTGTATGACCGACTTTATTGTGTAAGGTCTCAAATGAGACACTAAGAAATATCTTCAATTAAACCCTAGCCTGCATCGCCCATATCGCCAACCCCCCTCCCCCGCAAGGTGGAGGGTGAAGAATGAACCCCCAGCTTGCCTAACAAAGAACGATGAAGCGGACCAGAGAGGGGTTTGGTGAAGACGTCGGCGAGCTGTGAGTGCGACGGAACAAAAGTTAAGGAAATCAAACCAGCCTGAAACTGTTGACGCACGAAGTGGCAATCAAGCTCCACATGCTTCGTGCGTTCATGAAAGACTGGATTTTTGACGATGTGAATCGCCGCCTGACTATCAGAGTGAAGGAAAACCGGCAAGGACGGTGGAATAGAAAGGTTATCAAGCAGACGAACAAGCCAAGTGAGCTCAGCGACCACCCGACGCATAGATCTGTATTCAGCTTCAGCGGATGAAAGGAAAACAGACGGTTGTTTCTTGGATTTCCAAGAAACAGGGCAACCACCAAGGCTTATAAAGAACCCACTAATAGAACGGCGAAAGTCTGGGCAAGAACCCCAATCGGAGTCGCAAAAAGCCAGCAAATCAAGAGACGAGGTAGCAGTCATGAACAAGCCCATGCCAGGGTCAAGCAACAGATAACGAAGACAGTGGAAAGCAACAGATAAGTGAGAATCACGCGGGGCCTGCATAAATTGACTTAAGTGCTAAACGGCAAAGCTCAAATCTGGGTGAGTGTGTGTCAAAAAATTCAATTTCCCCCAAAGGCGACGATACATAGTAGGGTCAGAAAGAAGAGTACCATCATCAGCATGCAGCTTAATGGAAGGATCCATGGAGAAGAGGCAGTGGTCAGGCCAAAGCAATCGAATTCAGAAAGAAGCTCAAGGCAAATTTGCGCTGAGTCAGGATGAGCCCAGAAGACTCACGAAGAACCTCCATTCCCAGAAAATAAGATAAGTTCCCTAAGTCTTTGATTTTGAATTCAGCATCTAGAAACAATTTCAAATCATCCAATTCTGCCACATTATTGCCCGTAAGAAGTATATCATCAACATACATGGCCACCAAAGAAATAGAATCCCCAGATTTCTTATAAAATAAGGAGTAATCATTCAAGGAATGACTGAAACCTTTAAAATTAAAAGCAGCAGTGAGGCGAACATACCAGTGTCGTGAGGCTTGACGAAGACCATAGAGAGATTTCTTTAAACGACAAACCATATTAGGAGCAGGAGGAGAAATTCCAGCCGGAAATTTCATATAGACCTCCTCATGTAAATTAGGGTTGTGCATTTGGATCGGATATCCGAAATCCGATCCGATCCACTCTATTTTGGATTTTTGGATTTCGGATTTCGGATTTTCGGATTGGATACGGATTGTTTTATAAAATTTCGAATTTTCGGATTGGATTCGGATTGGTATGATCTAAATCCGATCCGATCCGAAATTCGAAACTATATGTACCTATATAAATACTACACTAAAATTTTAGGGTTAGGCTTATTCATTTTTTACACACTCCCTCACTCACTTAGATTTTTCCGCCTCTCTTCTCTTCAGTGAAGACTGAGAGTCTCAAAGACTCAAAGTCTCAAACTTCTGATTTTACTTTGATTTTTATGTCTCTTTCTTCCGCCTCTCTTCCCTTCTCTTATGTCTTTTATGTCTCTTTCATGTTCTATTTTTCAAATTTTGATTTTACTTTGATTTTTTTGTTTTGTTTTAGTAGATGGAAGATGAGACAGAGACACCAAATAAACTTCAAATTGTTGAAAATTTTGGTGAAAGAGATGCTTCAACTGATTTCACAACCAACAACAGTGAATCTCAATATGATTGTATGGTGTTTTAGGAGATGAATGGTGTTTATTCACTCAATTTTTTTGATTATGATTGAATGGTGCTTTAGGAGATGAATGGTTTTTTCTGATTGAATGGTGTTTTAGGAGATGAATGGTCCTAAGTCCTAACCAGCAATTTTGTGACAATCCGAAAAATTATCCGATCCAAAGTTTAAAATTCGATCCGATCCAATGTTAATTCGGATCGGATTCGGATTGCCCTTTTCAAAATCCAAAATCCTAAATCCGAATCCGAAATATGCTAAATCCGATCCAATCCGATCCGTGCACAGCCATAGCTACTATGCCTCAAATATCGAGCCTGGTACCCTTATGTGAATACTTAATAATTAAATATTATTTAATTATAAAAATTAACTATTTAATCTACAAACAAACATATAAAACTATAAAACTAACATGTAAAATAATAAAACTAACACATACAAGAATTCAGGATATCTTGGTGCTATTGAGCCTCAAATATCGAGCCTGGAACCCTTATGAATAGATAATTATTAAATATTGTATAATTATAACAATTAATTATTTAATTTACAAACAAACATATAAAATTATAAAACTAACATGTAATTAGTGTTGTTTAATTTACAGTAGACGACATGGAGGTGCCGCCTATTCATCCCGGACCTTCCAGCGATGAGCTACTGTCGTTATAGGGTGATCATAGGTCCGCCCTCATATGGGAGGGAGAGTTACTGGCCCAGACTCTCCGCGTCAGGAGAGTGGACGACATGTGGGACTTTTTGAAGGTCAAAGTTCTCAATCCCCGTGTAGTCAGACGCTTGCAGGATACGGGCTTCTACAGGATTTTGGAGATCACGCGGCTACAGCTTGATTGGTCTTTGGTCACGACCCTGATAGAGCAGTGGCGACAGGAGACGCACACATTTCCACTTGCCCATTGGCGAGGCCACCATCACACTGCAGGACGTGGAGGTTATATATGGCTGCCTGTTGATGGATACCCCGTTGCTCTGCCGTAGGCCATGAGAGAGATGACAGGTGCACAGTACCTGGACATGCTACAATTGCTCACTGGTTTCCGGCCACAGGATGGCTGGGGCCAGTCGTGACTATTCGAGACTATTTGGAGATATTGCATCCTGATATCGATGGCGATACACCAGATTATCATATTCACCGGTATACGAGGTTGCTTCTACTCCTTATGTTTGGAGGGGTCTTGTTCCCGAACACTTCGGGGAACCTAGCCAGCTTGAGATTTCTTCATCATCTTGAGCGGCTAGATGATTTACCCCAGTACAATTGGGGTGTTGCTGTTCTCGCCTACTTGTACAGGCAGATGTGCCGGGCGAGCATGGGCACCCAGCGTAACGTTGCTAGATTTCTGCCGTTACTACAGGTGACAACATATTCGAATACTTTATTCATTTTAAC